AGGTCAGGTCTTTGTGAGCACAGCTTAGGTTGGCAAGGGCTGTTGCCTTCATGGCTCCTGCACTCCATCATGCCTTCTAAGCCTTCAGGAGCAAGGCCCTGGAGGCCACATGATTTCACTTGTGTTGTCTTTCAGCTCTGAGTGGGGTTTTGACTTGAGCTGCTGCTGTGCACTGTACCCAGCCAGGTTTGGGGTTGTTGGGAATGGGCGCGTTTCTCGTTGTGCTGTTTGCCAGTACAAGATTTTGATAGAGTCATATCAAAATGATTTATTGAGTCACCAAAAAGCATCAGATCCATGTTGCTTCTGGGATAGGAACACTTCAGGAGGGGTGCACAAAAACCCAACAGAATGAGGAAGAAGGACACTTGTGTTGGTGGGGACTGCCTGCCCCTCAGGTGCAAGAGTGTCTGCAGTGAGGTGCTGCTGGGGGAGGTGACAGCAGTGGCCTCTGAACCATTCTGTTCTGTTGTGCAGGAGACTGAAAGTTGGAGTTATGTGATTAAATATCTTGTCACAAGAAGTTCCTGTTAGTTCTGCTTGTCTCTACATGGGTTAGAGCTTGGCCCTTTCCATTAGCACTACTTGGACCTTCAGGCTTTGGAAACACCCCAAGGGACCCTTATGCCTTAACTTGGTGTTTCAGCTCCTGGGCTGTGTCTGTCATCCTGAAATTTGCCACTTTTCCCACAGGCTGTGACATGAAAAGGGCAAAGATAAATAAAGATAAGTCAGAGAACAAGTTCTTTTCCCTCTTCTAACTGCTACAAGGAGACTGATAAAATATTTGTTTCCACAGTATGTTGAAGGCCCTTTCCCAGTGTCTTGCCTCCCCTGAGATTCCCCTGACGTTTTCCAAACGACTCCTCAGCAGCAGTGGCTGGTGGCTGCTGCTCATGGACCTGAGAGTGGTGCAGAAGAGGGAGGGGTGCCTGGTGGAGGTGGGGATGACCACATTGACTTCGGGCTATGAAGGGCTACTGACTGTCCTCATGTCAACTTAGTGGAGAGCAGCTGGGAGCAAGTGATGAACTATATCCTCTTGTGGGCTCACCTCCAGGAGATAATGTTTTTCTAAGGCACAGCCTGAGGAAGTACAGAAGGTGCTCATTCATAAAGACAGAGCAAACTAGGAAAACATTCAGTTCTGCTTTTTATCAAGACAATAACCCTATCAGCTACTGCAAGTAGGTGAAGGAAAAAGACTATCTCAACAGTCCCAAAGGGCTCCTTTGCCTTGTAGCACTTCTCCCAAGCGTTGGTCTGTACATCTGGTGCTTGCAGTCACCAGGAAGTACACAGAAAAATGTATGGAACTTTGCTATAATGAAATTCCTCCTAATGGCTTCAAATTGTATGGAATTTGAAATGATTCTGTGGCTTGAATTGCATGGTAAACTTCATGAATTTCAAAGAGCAGTAAAAACTGAGAGTACTAATGAAACTGTGGTCTAGAGAACCTGCTCTATTTTTCTTTTTTAATATCTGCAGATACAACAAATGAGCACTGCCTTTCATCTTCTTACCCACCCTCTCCAGGGCAGGCTGGGAGATTAGATAAGTGGCAAGGACACTGAGCAAGAAACAGCTTGGGAAGGGAGGAGTAAAGCAAGGAACTTCATGAAATTCAGTGCAGCAGGCAGGTAACACTTTAATCACTTTGGCAAAGATGGAATGGAATGAGCCTTTGGGTGCCAGGGAATGATACACTAGCCAGGCAGAGACAAACTCCTGGAAACAACCCATGTAACATCAAGCAGCTGAACCTGGAAATCCAGGCTGAATTTGCCTAATGTGTTAAAATTCATAAAATACATTAGTGCAGCATCTTCAAGCTGATCCTCAAGTGGAACTCTTCCTCTACACCTGTTTCTCTCCCTGTATCTGTGTCAGGATCTCCACAGGGGATTACTGCATAACATCCAAATACTTGCAGAACTCCCCAGGAAAACATGGAGTGGTATGACTGCTACTAACTGGTGTTGGTGATCTGCTGTCCTACAGAGAGAGGAGAGAGCTGGTGCAGATGGTGCTGGAGAAGTGGAGGAGCTCCAGCTTCAAAGGCAGGTCAAGCCATGAAAGAATCAGTGATGTGAGTAAGAGCAGTTTGGGGATTTCCACCAATACATCAAGGCTGCATAGGTGGGAACAAGTGGGTATGAAACACAACATGAATAAACTCTCTGTGGAGTTAATAATCTATCGTGTTCCAAAAAGGATTGCATATTGAGACCTGCTATGCTAATTAAATTGACTTTAGAACAGGTTATCATAGACACCAGACACTTCAGGGACAATTAATAACAGTTATTCTAATATAACATTTCTGTAGACAGGACCTTTATTTGATAAAGGAAATGTGTATGGAAAGGAAAATAGCCAAAGACACATCAGGATGACCAACACATAAATTAAAAGGCATTAAAGAAATAAATAAGGAATTAGCAGAGTTGAGGACAGCACTTACATTACTGGGAGCTTTGTTTATTGTGGACTGGTAATTGCTGCTTCGTGCATGTGTCAGGGGAGGAGCTTGTAATTACCTTGATTCATTATTTAATCACTTATGATTTGGCCACAGAAACCCAGAATGTATCCAGGTTTCTTCACAGCCCCTTGGCTGTATGGCATGTTTTTACTACATGGCATCCACAGCCTCTGTAGTAATAAATAATAAACTAAACAGTTTCAAAACTCCAAGCAAACAATAGCTTGGTGCACTTGCTCCTATTAAGAGGTAAAGAGGAGCAACAAACACTAAGAAATAGAATGTTCACCTCTTCAGAGCATCAACCACACTCCCTGATGTCAAGTGAAATGCAGACTCCAGTGCCCAATGTAGAGCACAGGCCTCCAGGCTGAGCTCAGCAAGACTGAGAAAATAGGGGTCTGCACATTTTAGCCAGGAAAGATGTTCTCAGCAGCTTTCACTAGGGTTAAAGACAGAATCCTCCTGGGGACATCACTGACCCAACCAGACCCATTCCAGGGAAGAAACAAGGCAAGGACAAACAGATTTTTAACAAATTCATCCTCACTCAGTATATGGTTTTGTTGTGTGAGATTAAAAGGAATAACTCTCTTACCTGCCAATTTTGCTGAATGTTATTCATGATAATTAATGAGGCTGCTTATTACTTAGTTAGTACTTCTGTATAATTATACTTGAATACCAAACTTTCTTAAAATGTAGCAAAGCTTGTAACATCCCCCCACACCTGTTGAACACCAGATCCTTAGTTATACTGTAATTAAAAAGAAGACCATGATACTTACATTTTGCATATAATAGCAATAACCAGGAATATGCAGCACATGGACACACAAAGCACAGCAAGGATCCAGGAGATGGGATTCTCCAGTTTGTTTTGCCCTGAATTTCAAGAAAAGAGAAATATTTCATTTTAGTGCAGATTATTTTAAACACACTCTTAGAAAATATTTAATCAGCTGTTTTATGGGAATATATTCTGTGATTATATTGACATGCAAATGATAAAGACTTTGTACCTAGTCAGCAAAGACTCTGTCTGCTGGTAATCTCAGGCACAAATGGTTTGTTTTGCTGCCTTCACACATCCCTTTGGCCTCCCACCTGGGTCCACAGCACTGCCAGGCCCTTGGGAAGAGAGGCTCAGTGACCTGACCACTCACCCAGGGCAGGGGGGCTGACCAGACATCTCATTAATTAAGAAAACTGGGCCTCCTTATTAGCCTCACACACTTATCTGGGAAATACTGAGATGAGACCAACTTTAAGACCAGCAGACCTTCCCTGAGGAAAATACTGGCCTGGGCTGCCTGAAGCAGCAGAATGTGATTAAATCACATTCACTAGAAATGGGGGAGAAAAGTGCAGTAAACAGGAGGGTGTTGGGGACATGTGTTGGGGTTGTTTTTTTTGGTGAAAACCAGGAAGTTAAGAAACTCAAAAGATAAGAACAAAGGAGGATGTTTAAGAAGAAACAGTTGATAACGTGCCATGATAAGGAAACTGTTATTTCCAGAAAAAACATGTTCAGCAAGTAGGAAATACAGAACAAAGTGGGATAAATTGTTGTGTTCCAAAGGTGCTAAAGCCATGCTCTTCTCCCACCCCCCTGACATTTGAGAGTTCAGAAAGCTCCAGTAAACTAATAGTTGACATGATCATTCATGTAAACTTCCAGCATGAACATCACACTGCATTCCAGGGAAGCACATGTGAAAACTAAAGGAGTAATGCAACTAAAAGTAATGCAACTTACTCAGAACTTAGGCCTGAGCTAGTTTAAAGCAGTCTCTGAAAACATAAGCATATAAAAATATAACACAGTCTAAAAAAACCCTTCCACATACCCAAACGTTTCTCTGGGAGACTATTTTTAATGTAACACAGGTTTAACTACCCTTGGCATCTTCACATACCTACTTTCCTGGTTTCTATTAAAATTACCTGCTGTTGTGCATGCTCAAGGTTGGGCAGCATTTGGTTTCCGGCAATGTAATAATATTCACTACAGGACAGAAGCATGTAATTCTTACCAACATAAATAATTTCACTCCAGTCACTCCAAAATCCTCTTGCAGAACACAAGTAATGGTTGGCTCTGATTTGTACTGAATACCTGCTGGTCACATCAACCCGCAGTCTGAACTCGTTTGAGGATATTTTCAGGGTCTGTTTGGAAAAATGATACTGTACCCTTAGAGGTTACCCAAAACTAAACAATTCAAAAAACAAACTTTAGTCCTGTTTATCTTTTTATTTTTTTAATGCTCCTCTACTAGATTAACAGTGAGCATCTGGCCTTGCTTTTGAAGGAAGATCTCTATTTTTCTGGATGTATTTGCTCTCCTAATACACCAATATTTCAGGGCAAATCCTTGAAGATGCCCCATTTTTGCATTCTTCCTTCAGACACTTCTTGCTGGACCTTCAGAATTGTCCCTCCTCTTACTGTTCTGAATCCAGATGCATAAAACTGAGTAACTCCAAATTTTGTCCCTCTCTCTTGGGGATAGTTGTTGCAGACAGAAATGACATCCAGAAAGAGAGGAAAAGAAAAAGAAAACTGAGGCTTTGGCTTTGGTGAGGCCTGGTCACAAATGGGACACAGGCTCTACCAAAAGTCTATCACTTCAAAAATATACTAGTAGCAGGTTTTATTTTAAATGTTTTAAAATACATAACATATCCATGAATATAAAGCTTTTTTTTTCACCTGGTTGCATAAAGGCAAATTCCAGCTGTATAGGACAGCTCAGAGACAGGAATGAGATGTAATATTTGGGCATCAGAGAAGCAATTAATTACCTGCTTGTTACCTGACTTCAAGTTGAAGAGGTAAAATTCATATTCAAAACATTCTTTTTGGAAAGGAGAAATTGGCTTCTCCCATGTGGCCACGAGGTCATGTTGCTCTAAGAATACAGTGACATTTCTGGGAACATTCACTTTCTCTACAAAAAGAAAATTTGGGCTGGTAAGTTACTTACAGAGCAATGTTTAAATACTAACAGTTGGAGCACTTTATAACCTGAGAGTAGGACCTATAATCCTTGAGTTTATTTCACATTTTTTGAAAGAAAAGATAAGGATTTAGGAATAACTCCATTGGAGAAAATAGTTAAGGGAAAAGTTTTTTAAAATCCACTTAGAAGTTTTAGGAACTATGTTACTGGGAGGGAGATTTTAGCAAATTAATTTTCATAAAAACATGAAATTACTGATAGAACAGTTAGAAAAACTTATTATTTTTTTTTCCAGATTAAAAAAGAAAAAAGAAAAAGATGTAACCAGGAAAGTTACTGGAAACTGGAACAAATTTAAAAGAATGGATCAGCAGCTATTATGGGAATGATTTCTAAGAAGGAAGTAAGTCTCTTGTTTTATCTTAGTGAAGCCATGAAGAAGGAAAAGCAACCTGTTTACAAAAAAAAATAGTGAAAAGGCATGGGGCTGATGATGGAAATTAAATCATTTGGGTGGATGAAAGATGATGTCTTGTCTGAAACTACCTTTTATTCAACAGTCTAATGCCTTTCTTTAAAAGGACATGGTTACCTTGAACATCATGTGTTTTCTTCCTTTCAAAGAAAGACTAAAATAAAAGGTAGTAGAAGCTGTACTTGAAGGTATTTGGACTAAATCAATTGAAAATTACTATTGGAAATAATACTTTTGCTAACAAACTGAATAACAAATGGTATTTTCTGTTTTAAAGTTAGTTAAAACAATCCATTTCTGTCTTATAATCTCTTCCAATTACATTAAGATGTCTAAGCAAAAACAGCACATACTTTTACCTGCATCAAGAACTATTCAATCCAGTAACGTTCTCTCATAAATCTTTTGAAAACCCTGCCATGTTTTTCATTTAAAAAAAAAAATAAAATAATAATAATTTCTACTTACCAATGGCATTTTGGTTAAACAGTTGCTGAAAAGGTTTGATTGCAGCATACTTGCTAGAGCCATTAATATGTATCACAATGAGGTTGTCAATTTCATCAGGATCAATACGAGTCACTGAAAATCTGCACTCAGTATTCCTGCTCCACTTGTCTTGGATATAATCTTGACATCCTTCAGTGTATGTTTCATATCTAAATGAAAACACTTATGAGACATGATGCTCTTAAAGAAATCCATTGCTGACTAAAATGGGAGAAAACACCAACCTGTAAAATAGGAAGTACTTGGTATCTTCTGGTGCCCCTTGGCCAGGAAGCCAAGTGCAATGGAGAGAAACAGCACTGGAAATAGTGATGTGAGTAACACAGGACAAGTTAGTGACAGATGTTTCTGGAGCACCTACAGAGCCAAGAAATTATTAAGCAGAAACAAAAATCTTATTACAAGAGTCATGAGAAATTCCTGTTTCTAGAACATTCTGATTACAGTCTTCAGTCCATCATATCTGTCCATTGTATCCAATTCTCTTCCTTACAACAGGTCTGTCAGTTATGGATGGAGGAAGATTCCCAAACAGGGTAAGCAAAGCTGTACGGCACTGTGTGTCACTGTATTTCACATACACCAAGGCAACAGGAGCTTTTCATATCCTACAGTGTATGAGAGTAGATTATCTTAGCCGTAGCAAGGAATGGTTAGGAAATTTGATGTGGGTTTTCCTTGTTCTGCACCTCCAGGTTGTGCTCCTGGCTCCACAGCACTAGAGAAGGGCCTGAACCAAATAATTTTTGAGAATCGGTGCAGCTGGCAGAAGGGAGACTGCCGTGTTTCTCAAGTATTAAACCTGTCACCTTTTCATGTCTAGTCCCCAGACCAGGGCAGAACACAAAATGCAGATCTCCCTTGCATTTTTCCTTTACCTGGCAGAGGCAGGAGTTTTTCCTCCACCCAGTCACTCCTCATCAGAAGGTCATTGTGGAGAAGTAACGTCCGCACGCGTGCGGAGAAGCCGTTGTGAAGTGGAGCCGTTCGGACGCTCCGAGTCCTCTTTGTGTCATACTTGAATTAAGCAAAGAAAAAGCTCAGTGAGCATCACGCATGATGGGAGGTGAATGAAGGGGCCTACAAAGACTGATTCAGTCCTTGCAAAGAGGCAAACCAGCCAGCCAGCTTAACTGGTTACATTAAAAGTGTATAAAGCCAGAGAATAGCAATAACCCGCCCAGCTTCTCAGGGAGGACAGCAGGACCCCTGTGACCCAAACGTGTCTGTAGCACGGAGCTGTGGGCAGACATGCTAAAGATACCATGGTGTTTGTTTGTGTGAATTGAGTGAGCTGGCTTGAACAGGGAGCAATCCCTAAAATCCAGCTCCCTCCCAAGATGAAGGCTGCAGAGACTGCCCATTCCCAGGCTAACCCTGTCCCAGCACGGCTGTACTCAGGAATCTCTCCAGTGCTCCCAGTATTTCCTTATGAGGTAAGAGAACAAGTGATTCAATTTGTCAGTTGATCAATAGACATATTGTGCCTACTGCACCTGCTTTGCTGCAACAAGTTTTTTCCTTCTTAGGATACTGGACCTATTTTTTATCTTACCTCTTCAGGCACAGGGCTTAGGATTTTCACATCATATCTGATGGTATAGTTGTTTTTTTCTTGATTAGGGTTTGGTTTCCAGTGTAAAAGTACTTGTGCTAATGCAGAGACTGTGAGAGTGAAGTTAACAGGTGGGAAAACCTGAACTGTAAGGGAAAAACAAAAATATGCATAACACAGTAAGCCAGTGAATTCTTGGGAATAACAGCTGTTCAGAAGCAACAAGCAATGCAAGCAAATAATTTCATTTCAATATCATATTCTCTCAACAGCTTCTTACAAAATCTTTCTAATACTTGAAAAAAATCTTTAACAACCAAAACTGCATTAAATAAGAGTTTACTTAAAAGTTAGCTTAAAAAATTGTTTTTTATAACAGTTTCAACTTGAAAATCACAATGATATATTACATTTGGTTTGTTAATTAGGTGCAGGCTTTTCAACTTGTTTGTCATAGCCAGACAGACAGATGGAATCTGCACTGAACAGGCTGATCAAGTGATCAGCCCTAAGAGCAATCCTCACCCATATAAGCCTGCAGAAGAGCAGAACTGGGGGCTTTCTGAGGGAAGAACTTGTATGTTAGGGAAGAAGCAAAATGATGAGCAAAGGAATTAAGCACAAAGGAAAGAAAGATGGGAGTGGTAATTTACGTGACAGGACAAGAGGGATTCCTGGAGTTCATATGGAAATGAGTAAGATTTCATGCTGGGGGAAAATGTTAGCATATAAATAGCAAGGCAATGAAATAATCAATATGCTCCACTTCCATTTCTACAGTTCTTCAGAGCCTGTCCTCCCTTATCTGCCATCTTCAAGGCAGCTGAGATACATCAGTCCCCACTTCTCCCTGATTTCAGACTCTGAGGCCCAGTAGTTCCATTTTCAAGCATGCACTTTGCAATTAGGAAAACTGCCTCATGAAGGAGCAGAAAACCCCCAAACCCTGAAGTGCTTCCTTTAAAATATTCCCTGTTGAGATGCCCACAACAAATGGTTGTGGACACACCGAGGACACTTTGTGTCATCATGTTTCTGCAGGTAACTGCAGATTTGTTCCTGGAAGTAGCATGGCCATCTGGAATAATGCCTTTGCTCCAGCTGGTTTAAATAGTTGAATAAACCAAGCCATGAACTACAGTCCAGCCTAGAGGGCAAGTGGCATGGGCTTGTGTCTACATGGTTCTTCCTCCTTTGAGCAAACATGGTACTTCCTTCTCAAAGCTGGCCAGAAGCAATCTAAGTGAGACAGGGTACAGCTGTCCCAGGAAGCATCTGAACAGTCTGGTCATCTGTGGTCCTGTCCTCATGGCATGCCATGGGCTGTTTGATTCACGTGTAGGATAGTGCATTTGAGCAAGACACAGAGGGGCCTTGGTCCCCCACCCACTGGAGCCAAAGCTTCATGCTGGCAGGAAGGAAGATGAGGTACCTTCTGCAGTCCGAAGGGTGTCTGGCTGAACCAGGGTTGTTGTCCAAAGGAGGATCAGAAAAGCTCTTCCCACTCTGGCCATAATCTCTAGATGGTAAATGAGGACAGCCACATACCAGCTTCTGTGCCGTGTCACCATTTTACAGAGGCCAAGAGCTAAAAATGAACATAAGCCCAAGGGTTAGAAGCACAAACCATGGAGCACGGTATATCCACATGATCAAAGGAATGGAACTGCTGCCTTGCAAGGGAATGACTCTTCTCCTTTCCTTGCAGGAAGAGACATCTCATCGTAGCTACATTTAATACAGGTACCACCAACGACATTTCTTTTTGCTCCCTCTTTGAAAAAGCTACTGGCTTCAAACATTGTCATGTGTGGACACTCAGAGCAGCAGCCACGGAATTACAGCATCTCTCCATGGAGAGGAGGGAGTCAGGTCCAGGTATATTGGCTTTCAGTAGAGTCCCATTTACTCCAACTACAGAAATAACCATATTTTTAGCTGCCACTGTATATAAATTGGCTACTTACTAGAATTTACTTTCCAGTTCCTATTTCAGTAAAGCTCACTAAAGAAGCAGTCTCCATGCTCACCTCAAGGCTAATTCACCAGTGTTAATTATTTGGTGTAAGACAAACTATTTTGTTTGTTTCTAATTTAAACGATCAACCATTTTTAATGCTTAAAACCAGAATGCTCTTATTCTTCCTACAGACTATTTCATGAAGTACTGGGAGAAAAAAAAAAAAAAATCTGCACGTAATCATTCATGTATAACCTGCTATAAACAACGTGGAAATGGAGAACAGCAGCTTTCCAAAATGTTCCTAGCAAAGAGAAATATGCCCTCCCAGCCCAATCGCACAGCTTCCCTGGGGCACTACAGCAATTGCTTGTATGGAAAACATAATATTTTCAGATGGTAATGAGCAGAGAAAGCATCTTTAACCCATCAGTTCTCCCTGAGCCTCCAATAAATAACCCAGGGACTGGAAGCACTCCAGTTGATCACAGTTGGAGTAGTTCTGCTGTGCAGTCACTGTTTCTCAAAATGGAGTATGAATGCTGAGCTCATTAAAATGGCACACAATTTGCAGTGCTCTCTGTGTTTCTAAATGCCCAAACCCACTCAATGTCTATATTCATATTTT